TAGGAGCTGCCTGCACCCCACAAGCTTCATCTGGTGGCCCTCCCACCCACCCAGCTGGGCAACCCTTGCCCCCTCCCTCACCGTGCAGGGTGTTGATCTGCGCCCCCATGCCTCTTCCCTCCCCCCTCCCCTTCCAACTTACCAGCTGGAGGCAGCTTTCCATGCTGCTAGCTCTGCTTCATGCTGCGCTGCGGCTACACAGCACAGGCATTTATCGACCAACTTATCAGCCCCATCAGGCCGATATCCAATACAGACAATTTTCTTTATATCGGTACTGATCCGATATCGAACTGATGTATCAGTGTACCTCTAGTATTTAGTTATAGAATAATAATATTCAGAAAGAGTCAGTGAATGGTGCCTTTATGAAACAGGCAGCCAATGGATTATCTGCCTACATTCCATAAAATGTTTTTATAGGATACAGAGTAGTTTCTTTTGACAGTAAAGAGTATATCAGGGAAGAGGTTATAGTCAAGAGCATCAGCAGTTTCTGTCACTTTTTAAAAGGTATTTTTATTAGATAGCAATAAATATTGGCAATCATTTACTGCTCTCTCACACTGCTACTTTGAATCTGGGTCTCCCATTTGCTGGATGGGTGTTCTAACTACCAAACAGTTGTACAATATCATACTACTGAGACCAGCACTTCTTCTTCCTCCAGTTGCATTTTAAAGGGTTGGAAAAAAACATGTTTCATTTTTAGAACAAACAGGTTTAGGCACCAGCCTTAAGACATACTGGGCATGTCTACTTTAATGCATAGTAGTTGCTGCACATTTAATTTAGTACTTTCTAAATGAAGTGCTAACTGAATATGCAGCAATTACTTTTACTGTGCAGTAGCACTGGTGCATGGGTTTTTGTGACACTTACTGCTCAGTAGCCTAATGACACTGCACAGTAGGTTATTAGCACAGTTTTTGACTGGCACACTGCTGCACAGTGTTATTAGGCTCCCATGCAGTAAGCATCTCATGTAAATGTGCCCACTGTGAATCCTGAGAGAGATGCCTCCAGTAATGCTGAGTGAACTTGTCTGTACATTGCAAGTTTTAGGTACACTCCTGGCTTTAGTGTTTCTTACTAGCCAGATTAGGTAGCTCCCTTTTAATGTGCTGCCTTTTGTAACTCCCCAAACGTTATATAGGGAACCTAGGCACATAACTCAGGGCTGTGGATTTTGCTACAGGGACCAAGCACCTAAAAGTCAGAGGCATTCTGGTGCCTCTGTGGGTCTAGACTCAAGTGTCATCAACACCCGTTGAGTTTATTGTGGCATTTGTTGGAACTGAGGGCACACTGCACGTGGCTCAAATGATAACTGTATTCAGCACCTTTCAGGAACTTGACTTGACTTCCAGGTTAATGCTGCTCTAGATCCAGTATATTATGCAGAAAGAAAATATTCTTCTACCAGCTCCTATGATATTTATGGCATTTCAGTAAAACATCAGCACATGTGGACTTTGAAGATTGCAGGCTGTTTGAGTGAGATGAACAAGACATCCACTTTTCCTGTTACTATACTTTGACTGACATTTTTGTATAGGAACAGCACAGCAGCACATGGGTTCTTGAGAGCTTTTTCTTTTTGGTAAATAAATGTAACTTTCCCCTAAGTGATGGTGTAAAACATGGCTATTGTGGAATACAATTATTGTGGAATGCAGAAAATATTGTGATAATCCCCATAATTTGTAAAATCTGATTTGCATGCTTTTGATTTCTCTTTTGTCCATGATGCTAAAGAATTTGCTGCATGCTTTACTTGCAATCTCTTATCATGCAAATTGCCCCTGTAATAACTTGAGACCAAGAAGATCTGTGCCTGCTGGCTCCTCTGCTCAGACTGTGCAAAGAGATTCTGCATTCCTTTCACAGTGGGTAGGACTTTACTGTGCTACACTGAAAGGTAATATCCATAGACGCTAGTGTAACAAAACCCTAGGGTGTCAGGGTGCTCCCGGAGATTCACTCTGGATTTGCATAGTTTA